AAAACTATATATATATATATACGAAAAACTATATATATATATATATACAACAACGCAGAGAGAGAGAGGGCATCTGCCATGTGGGCGGAAAGAAGGAGTATTACGCTTACCTATAATTATATACATAACCTAGTCTGTTTTATCGTTTTATCTTTACAACATTTGTGATATTACTTTCTTAACTGTGTTTATCCTGACCCACCCTGTCCACTTTCCCTGTGTGAGGAAACCGGAGCACCCGGAGAAAACCCACGACTTTCGGCAGAGCGTTGACTCTTTTCACACGAGCCTGTAGCGAGAATCAAACCCACGAACTCACAAGTGAAAGGCGCCAAAGATGTAAAATAAAACTAAAAGTAATATCTTACTTAAAATTTGTTAGTTCACTGCAACCAGGTATATCAATCATGTTTCGCTCGCTACTCTGGTTTAAATAAATGATTACAAAGCCCAGTCGAATTGTAATCAAGACCCAACTAGTGTCTTCATTTAGATCACCCCTGATGAAGACACTATAGACTGGAGTGTCGAAACGTTGGGTCTTGATTACAATTCGACTAGGCTTTGTAATCATTTATTTAAACCAGAGTAGCGAGCGAAACATGATTAATGTCTTACTTTTGTCAATGACGATTGTATTGATCAAGTCAGGCTCTGTTTCAGCGAAGTAATCAAGACGCTCCAATATTTTACTGAAACAAAATTACAATTTAGCATAAGATAATGAAGGAATTGATCATTTAAACGCAGGTTTAGTCCTGTTTTCATGGATAGTTTTATTCATCAGGGGTGATCTAAAGTTGCAACGTGGCTTCTTATACCGGGTGACGGGTGTCCCCCCAAAAAAACTGGATACTGTTTAATTTCATGTAACGTAAAAGCTATAAAAGCTATCGCAATGAAATAAAGATCATTACATTCAGAAAGGACTAACGTAGATTTTGATAATAGCACTTGAATTTACATGCAATATTGAGCGAGATATAACCAAAATAAAACATTTATTATTTAACAAGTATAACTAGATTGGTAATTATAAGGTTGTTTTATGCTAATTTTTGGCATTTTCAAAAACAGTAGTTCAACGTTCAAACATCAATAGCGCAGTCAATATTGCATGTAAATTCAAGTGTTATATATCAAAATCTAAGTTAGTCCTTTCTGAATGCAAGGATCTTTATTTCATTGCGATAGCTTTTATAGCTTTTACGTTACATGAAATCAAACAGTGTCCAGTTTGTTGGGGGATCCCCAGTATATATACCAGGGTGTCCACCCTTTGGTGAAGGCGAAATTCCAGACTTTTCCAGAAAAGCTTTGAAAATGGCACGGATTTTAGACTTTAACCAGCAAATAATTCACTTTATTCAGTAATTTTAATCGAAATCACTAATGTTGGCACAGCTGGAGGTTAAGGACATTAATTCCAGGACTTTCAAGGACTTCTATTGATTTTCAAGGACTTTCCAGTCCTGGAATTTTTTTTCCAATTAAACGACTTTCCAGGATTTTCAAGGCCCGTGGACACCCTGATATACCCATGGGGCACGTTTCGACTCCAAATCACCCCTGATGAAGACACCAGGGGTGGAAATTTTTTTTTCTTTCTGGGAACCTGGGTCAAAGTCTAGAAATTTTCTGTAACATTTGCAATGTTACAATTACAAAAATAACAAAACAAATGCATAATTATTGTATTATTTGTACTTTAGTAATTGTGACAGATTACGCAACATTACTTTAAATTTATTTGTTATCGTAATACTTCATGTAATAATTGCTGCCTCGTAGAGGCAGCACACTATTCTTGACTACGCGGTGTTTCTCCAGAGTCCACTCGACCCAGTCTTTCGCGCGATCTATGTATTGTCGAGATCTCGATCTTGTGTCTGTCTGTCTGTCTGTAAAGATGTCGTAATCCGGGGGGAATAATTAAGCCTCGAGAACGTTTGTTAAATGAGGGGAGCGGTCAGAAACAAGATTTTGTATTGCGCACGCAACTCCATGTGCTCAAGAATCAAGATTTTACAATTGGTTTCATACAGGCTTTTTATACGGATGCAAGTTATCGAAAATTTTCGGAAAAATTCAGGTAAGTATGGCTCTATTTCTTTCTTCTGAAATACATCAAGGCGATGACCTTTTTAGTGTTCAATCTAGAGGCAAACAATGTGCTTTTATGGGTTTATCTGCAATTTTAACTGCCCAAAGTATCCCAGTGATCGATTGGTCGAAAACAACATTGAATAATGTCTTATTACAAGGAGACAAAATGTATTTGCAAGCTGTGGATAATGGCTTTGTTGTCTTAGAACCTGGTGTCGAATTTCTATCTGTAGATAACTTACCTAAAGTTGTCAGTGTTTCAAGTTGTACGAACATGTTTTCTTACGAGATATGCGATTCTGTCATCGACACAAGTAATATATCATCTGTAGTGCATGCGAAAACAACTACAACACCTATGAATCCCTTTGATACACAAATTAACGTTGAACTACCCATGGTGGTAGGACAAAACAGTAAAAGTGTACCCATGGTGGTACAACAAAATCAGAACAGTCCACCCATGATGGTAGGACAAAACAGTAACAGTCTACCCGTGGTGGTAAGACAAAATAATAACAGTCCACCTGTGATGGTAGGACAAAACAGTAACAGTCTACCCGTGGTGGTAAGACAAAATAATAACAGTCCACCTGTGATGGTAGGACAAAACAGTAACAGTCTACCCGTGGTGGGAAGACAAAATAATAACAGTCCACCTGTGATGGTAGGACAAAACAGTAACAGTCTACCCGTGGTGGTAAGACAAAATAATAACAGTCCACCCATTGTGCTAGAGCCCGTTGAGGCACAAAATAACATTGAACTACCCATTGTGGTAGAGCCTGTTGAGGCAAAAAGTATCACTGATCTGCCCATTGTGGCAAGGGGTAACACTGATCTATCTATTGGTGTAGAGCACAATTCTGTGGTGCCATGGGCGTACCGGAAGGAAAAAATTAGGGGGGCGGAAAGAAAATTGCCAGACTTTTCGGGATTCTGCCCGACTAGTACCAAAAGTTGATCGAATATTGCCCGACTGCCCAAAAAACTGGGGGGGGCTACCGCCCCCCCCCCCCGCCCGGTACGCCTATGTGTGGTGCCTAATGAGGAAAACAATAAAAACCAAATTTGGTTTATAAATTATGGAAAAGAGCTTCAAGGTCTTGTTATAACCAACCGAGAAATTGAGTCACACTACTATGACATTCACACAGCACTTTTGAATGTGTTTTCAAATTATAGTTGTACTATTTTAATATTAGAAGGCTATATGATGGCATTGATAAAGCAAGCAGATTTTTTCTATTTATTTGACTCCCATGCCAGAGACTCTAATGGCATGCCTGATCCTAATGGCACTGCTGTTGTCATGAAATTTGCTAATATTCTAGAATTAGAACAATATTTGTATTCTGTTTCAGTGACATTGCATGCCAATTTACTTGAAATTGTACCTGTGCAATTAAATATATGTAAAGCTTCAGAGCAAAAAAGTAAGTGTGTAAAGGATCAAGAGTATGTCCTGAAAAAGAGGCTTTTAATAGAAAATGAAGGTGATAAACAAGCTAGACTGAAGAAAGCTAGTGAGTATAAAAAAAGAAAGCAGTCAGAGGAAACTGACAGTGTGCGGCAAATAAGACTTCAAAAATTAAGTGAGTCTATTAAACAGAAACGTTCAGAGGAAACTGACAGTGAACGGCAAATAAGACTTCAAAAATTAAGTGAGTTTATTAAACAGAAACGTTCAGAGGAAACTGACAGTGAAAAACAAATTAGACTTCAAAAGGATTGTGAGTCTAAAAAAACAAAGCGGTCAGAGGAAACTAAGTAAATATCTCATGCTGGCAATTATTTTTTCTATAGTTTTGCAATTCTGACGGATGTGAATGGTGCCATGTTAACTGCTGTATGAAACCAAATGGTTGTTAAAGTCAAAATATAATATGGATATATTACATTGCATGAAAATGGATGGGAGCTTCTGGATTAACAGAAATGTATTTCTATTAAAACAAGAATGCTGATTTACAAGTTTGTATGGATACTGTATATTACATCTAATGCAATGGGATGGAATCTGAATTTTGCTGTACTTGTTTCCAATCTACCATATGGATGTCAGGAACATTGTATGCCAAGATATTACATACCTTTATATGTACAGTAACCTAACAAGTTATTGGACAATAATGATGGCCAACAATGGATACTACCTGTACATGCTAAATAAATACAAAATATTTATATACTGGACAAAAAACGAATAGTAATAAGACTTGTTTACAAAATGGAAAATACAGTATGGACTATCATTACCTTGGAAAGAAAGAATATCAAAACTTGCAACAAACTGGTCATATCATGTTAAAAGACATATCGTGTATATTGCTCATTGTGTTCTTCTAGACGTTTTGACAAGTGAAGATTGTTTAAAACATTGGTACCAACAATCACGAGCATACATTTAAATATGGAACTCCGAACTACACTTTATAGTATATATAGTAATTATTGCATGTTGTAATTTCGATATTTCTTAAACAAAATAAATTCATACATACCCTGTGTATAAGGCAATTTAAGTAAATGAAGTTTATTGGTATAATCAACCCCCAGGACTTTGGTGTTGAGGCAGCACTTCCCTTGCGATAGTAACTTCTAGTATTAGAAATATATAAAGTTTCAAACATAGCGCCCAACGTCACGGCAACGTGCCCTTTAGTTTATCGAAAAAGTTATGTTTTAGCGCTATGACCGATCAATTAGAAAGGAAAAAGGCTACCCGTCGTGGGAACAGAGCAGTTATAACGAAATACAGTAACGAAGCGAAGGAATTATTGGCAAATGGAGAAAATATCGACGAAAATACGAAGGATCGTTTAAACACGTTGCACGATCTTCTTGAGGAGAAATTACAAGTGGTAAAGAAATTCGACGAAGAAATCTTACAGTTATGCGAAGTTAAAGAAATAGAAAACGAGATTGAAATATCCGAGGAATTAAATTCACGAGTTCTTGATGTTAAAAAACAAATATCCAAGTTTTTTGCGAAGAAAATCGACGATACGGGAAAAGTACCTATTCACGATATATCTATACCTGGTCAAAATACCCCGCAAGTAGAAATAACAGAGGTAGGTGAAATTTCCTCTGAAGTTAATGTCAATAATGAAACA